GTGAAAATTGTTGCTTAAGAATTTAACTTTTAAATCATTATTTTTTTTTTAATTTATGGTTCATCTGAAAAAAATTTAATAAATAAATAAAGATAGCAATCATCTATATTCTAGTTTATTTTTGTTCGAATTAAAAATAATTAAGGATATATTGATAAGACTTGGGAATTATTTGGTAAAATGTGGCAGGTAAGGCATTAGGAGTGGCGAGGCCGCGGAAGCATGAGACGCTGGAGAGCACCTGGCGAGCCCTCACCGAAGGCCGAGCGGTGCCCCTCGCCCGACACCTGAAGAAGTCCGACACGTGGGCCACACATGCTCGTGCGGCCGTCACCGTGGAACCCTCGACGCCGCCGGCGAAACACAACATGGAGAAATTCGAGACATTTAGTGCTCGCTCCACAGCCGCCGATAGCTCGCCGCCACCGTCCTCCGGCGTTGGTTGCTCGTCTCCTGTGACAAGGCTCCGGCGAGAATCGTCTATGGGACATGATGATATAAACCGCCGTGTGGAGGCATTCATCAAGAAATTTAACGAGGACATGCGGCTCCAGAGGCAGGAATCCCTGCGAAAGTACAAAGATATGATCAACCGAGGCAGCCATTAAAGAAAAAAACTTGAGGCGAGCTGTTGATCAAGACAATGGCTCTAGGGTTTGGTTGTAATTGTTTATCTGCTAATTTTATTTGCCTCTGTTCTCGACGTTGATCCAGATGCTGATGGATGTAAATTTTAGAATTTTTGGATAGACTCTTTTGGAAGGATGTTTTAAAGTCTTTTAATATGTAAGTCTGGATGAAATCATCAGTGGAGAGTTCTCTATCAATATTTTTGTAGGAGATGGTAGAGATGGAGATTGGTGAAAGTTTGCAACTTTTGTAAGGTTTTGCAGTTTAATTGTTCTCTACTTGTAATTAATTTGCTGTTATTTTCCCATCATACAATATGGTTGGTCTGGTTTAGTGTTGCATATTTAGAATGTTATGTGAAATAAAGTTAT